GGGGATGGAGGCACCAAAGGATCTCTTGGTGGTGCCGTGGGGCCGGGTGTGGGGGCAGGGCCCTTCAGCAGTGGTGGGGTGACATGGGGGAGGACGGGGGCTTCCCCACGGGAGTGATTCCTCCTTTGCCCACGTGTGGGTTGGCAAAGGCAGGAGGGTGAGCCCAGCAACCAGCAGGGAAACAGGTGGTTGCGGGCACCGTATCAGGTGCTGAGATGTCCCTGTCTGTCTGTCTGTCCCCAGACAGCCAGATTATCGGATTGCTCAGCTTAGCGTGGGTAACTTTTCAGCACCTACAGTGATTTCTAAATACTCCTGCAACCCACAGCAGGTGCAGCTTCCTTTTTGCCCAGGGGCACTGTAAAAAGAGACACTCAAAACCCTTCCTGAGTCTGCCATGCATCCTGCAGCCTGGACCCCACCCAGAGGGTTGCTGGGCAGTGGAGGTTTTCCTGAAAGGACATCAGAGCAGCCCCAGATGTTCATGGCTGATGGGGCCAGGGCTGATGGTAGCTATGGTGGCTGATGGGGCCGGGGCTCACAGCTGTAGGAGAAGGAAGTACAGAGGGGGGAAGCAGCATCCCCCTCCAAAGGCACCAGCAGCCAGGGACATCCATACAGCTCTCCCAGCACAGCCACATCCTTCAGACACATGAGGAAGGGCCCTGCCAGCCATAGTTGCCTGCCAGGGCACACAGGGGTGTGATCTGTGCACCCCGACGTGGCCCGCAGACAGAACACACACGTGTACGTGCACACGCGTGTGCACAGATACGTGCACACACACGCTGAAGGGACAGTGCTCGCCCTGCCCCTGCACCGCGGGCTGACAGCCAGGAATTGCAGTGCCAGGGGAGAGGAGGTTTCTCACGCCTCCGCAAGTGGAGCTGAAGGGCAAATCACTTTTGATGAACCAAAACGTTCCCGATTTCCCCCTTCCGGGAAAGCAGGAGGCCTTGCCATCCCCTGAACCCAGTAAACACCTAAAGGAAGAGGGTGCCGTTTGTCAGCCCCACCGGGGCAAGGCCACGAAGGGCTAAATATCCCCCTCCCTAAACAAGCAGAGATGCTGAAACCTCTGGAGGACTGGGAGGGAAAGGGGTGAGAAAAGACCCGTGCAGCGCGAGGAGGGAGGAGGGGTGCGGGTGTGCCAGGGGGGCCCCCAGGAGACAGCGGCCCCAGCGGGGTCAGCCCCTCCATCCCCACGGCCGTGCCCACCCAGGCGGGGAGGCTGGCGGGGGCCTGGGGTGGAGGCAGGGGGTGGGATGGAGGCA